TCATGTGGTAAGTGGTAATTAATTCAATCATAAATAGGCATGTATGACAATTGCATTAAAAGAAAAGAACTTGATTCCAATTTTAATTGGAATGTTGAACTACCAGCTGCAAACTACAACTGGTTAGGCATAATAAAAAAATATGTTTGTTTATGGTTAACCGACTGACCCTATATCTAATAGCCAACCCAAATTTTTTTTTCATTGTAAAAATCCATAAGTCACTCATTTGTCGGTTTAACTTTTACATGTATCTTAATCGGTCAAGCGTTTGAATCGAAAGTACTAGAAATAGTTAGTGCAACATGGAATTAAAGAAGAAATACAAGACAGTTTTTTCATTGTGTGGTAGCTGTAAGACAGTTGGCAAGAAAGATATTGTCTATCGCCTGTATGGCAAGCCCAAACAAAAAATAAAACAGCACCACACAATGGTAAAACTGTTTTGTATTTCAACCAATTCATGTGAATTTGTGTATAAAAAAATTCAATAAAATAAAAAATTCCTACCAACCGACCCTATTTCATTTCAGCATGTAACAGTAAGCAAACATATTTTTTTGTTTGGCCTTATGTAATTGTATGGCTTGGAGTCTTTTTCACTTCTCTATAAAATTTTCTGTCTGGATGATATCTAGCATAATATACACCATGCAGTGAGGATTTTAGTTCACCCGAGCTAAAAACTCAAGTAAACTTTTCTGATCATCTTTTGTTTTGTCTTTTGTCCATCAAACTGTCTATCCATCAGTGAGCTTTTCACATTTTCAACTTCTTCTCAAGAACCACTAATTTTAACAAAGGTTGACACAAAGTAAGAATATTTTAAATTGTACAGAGGAAGCCCCCACCCCACCTCCCACCCCCCTTCACCCCAAGGGGAAATGATCAATTCTTTCAGATATTATTGATATGATCATAAGACATTTTTGAGCAACTCATTATTTTGTATTCTGTAGACTTTATTTTAAGAATAATGAATATTTGTTTAAGAGTCCTTCTGTCAAGGTTTAAAGTTCAATTAAAATTATTTTGTGATACATGTATTTGAGGATTCGAGATATCAGGAGTAAAATATTTTAAAAATACTTCCAAAAATTACTTCGACATATCTATGGTATTCGAGATGCCAAAGTTCAACTGTATGGCTATGCTAAAGTAGTAAATATTATAACTTACTAAAACTTTCTAACATTGAAACATGTTAAATGAAACAAGACAATAATGAAAAATAAAAATTTACTGATTTCTGGCTGGTCAGTATTTTGATGACTGTAATTTCTAAAATATTCAATGAAACACTTTGAAGCTTTAACTGTAGGTATATGTTAACTAAATATACTATAAGGTAATATTTATAAATGAGAAGTTTTGAACAAACATTACAACATGCATGTATGTAAATTGGGGGTAAAAATTTGTTACCGGTAATGGCTATTGACTTAATTTTCAGTGACATAAAACAAGATTTAGAATGTAGGTAAATAATACTGGTATGTGTCTGTACATATGATATAGCATATACTGTGGTAGAACTTGTACTGAATGTTGATTAGCTAAATCTTGAATGGCTGATATGTTGGTCGTTTTTTATGAAATTTAAATTATTTGTATGTAAACTGAGTGTACATGCAACATAAAATTATTCAGAAGGTATTAAACATGATTAAAGTATGTGTATGCAATGCAACATATGATGAATTCATATTGACTTGTATGGATATAGCTTATCATGTATGTGCATTGTTTTTTTAGGGTCCTGTTCTGCAGATGCCATGAGATGATCTTGTCTGTCCATCTGATATCACTTGTCCTGAGTATATTTTCTCTCCTCTTAGCCCAATCTCACTCAAATTTAACTCATAGAGTGCCTGTGGATGGAGGGTAAAAGGTGACCTTGGACCAGTTATCAAGGTCAAAGGTCAGTATCAAAACACACTATATATCTTTATTTAAAGTCCTTGTCCACAGCATAATTTTTCTCCCTTGGTATGATCTGGCTTGTGTGCCATGGGATGAAGGGTTTTTAGTGATCTTTAACAAAATTTCTAGGTCAAATGTCAATAAGAAAAAAAAAAGATTCATAATATCCTTGTCCAGAGCACATTTCTCTCCAATTCACTCAACTAAAAGCAGTGTATGAAATGGTCATACATGTATGAGATGGTCATATTCTGCTTTAATATTAATCTGGCTTAAAACCTTACTATGTAATGTTCATTATTCGGAGTTCATGGTCATTAAATTTAAAGACTGAAACTGATTATAATCACTGATATTGGTACATTAAAGGACAGTGAGTGATCTTGTAAGATTTCTAAATAATATTCAAGCATACAATTCTTACATCAAATAATAATTTTATATGAAAATATATTGCAGATCGCAGATGATGTGAAGAAAATACAAAGGAAGCTGATGTTGAAAGAAGTATAGAGTATTTAATGAAGTTTATGAATGGACTTAGATGTGAAAGACTACTTCATTGTTTACCAAGATATATAATTTGATTTATTTTGTTATCATTTTCAAATAATGTTTTTGCACATCAAATGAATTATTAAACACATGATTTGATAATGCTTTTTCCTTTTTATACATTTTCTTGATAGATTTTGAAAAGAAAACACAGTTTACCAAGGAAATTAATAATATATATTTTGATTTAAACCTGCTGTTCTCTTTTCACATTCTAGACAAGAAAGATTTACCATGGTAAATACAGGGATCCTTGAGCTTCCAGTTGCTAGTCGATCATTTTTCGAAATTGAAATGCTCAACCTACCCTGTAGTTTCCATGGTATGGAAACTATTACACCACAATTACACATTGCTTCCCGTCTCAGAAAAATAAGGGAATCTTGAAGTTTCCCTGTCATTTCCTTTTATGAGACACCAGATAATTCCACCAAGTTTCCATCACACGGAAACCGCTACGCTCAGATTCCATGTAGTTTCCTGAGTCATGGAAACTTGAGGAATCACGAGGTTTCCTCTAGATTCCGTTCATGGGAAATCTGAGGATTCCATCGAGTTTCCATTCCATGGAAACCACTACGCTCCGATTCCACATAGTTTCCTAATTATGGAAACCAGTGGAATCTTCAGGTTTCCCATTACGGGAAACCACATGGAGGCTCGGGAAACTTCAGGTTTCCTTGGGTTTCCGTGGTTCGGGATACCTAATGGAATCGGAGCGTAGTAGTTTCCGTGGTACGGAAACTTGATGGAATAACCTGGCATCCGCTGCGGAAACCACTAGGAAACATGATGTAAACATGAGGTTTCCATGTGGTTTCCATATAGTTTCCCATGACGGGAAACTGCTTTTTTCACCCAGTGATGCAAATGAAATATTTTATTGTTGTGGACTTTATATACATCAAGAGTAGGAATGACTACGAAATCAATTTATATCTGTTGTTGATCGTATGTATCTATTTATCGTATGGTACATCTAAATACAATACACATGCCTCGGAAATGTCGTATTTTTTTTTTTATTAATGAATGATAAATTTAGGGTTCTCGCTCTCTTTCATATGTCTTTTAGTTCTTCTATACTTTAATTGGAATGACAAATACATTTAACATAAAAAATTGGATTGAGATTGGCATGTTCTGTATTATCCGCAATGCCATGCTGTCCCAGTCAGACGACCAAACGCGCCTCTAATTTTGAAGAATTCACTAATGGAAATAGAACGTATTCGACACTGATTTGACGACGTTCATCAGTAAACACTATTCGTTGTAATTTATATAAGCGGATTTAATGAATTTCACTACACACGCAACGCAGCTCTGTTAAGGCTGCATAAAGTGAGCGGGGTCTAATTTATACGGGAAATGTCTACTGTGACATCACAAATATAGCAATTCCTCAAAACAACAGGAAATGAAATAATTTGCGGTATTAAACTACATATGAGTGATGAACTACATCAAAACTTACCACTGCATTCAAATTGTCGCTAGTTAAATTCCACACAGCAAGATATAAACAAGTCACTGGTCGCAATGCACTTGTCGACATGACGTCATCATGGTAAAATTTGACGCATTTTATGTGCAGTGAGAGGCGGATCAAATTATTTTCCACAGTGAAAAACGCATTTTATTATTAAACAGAATATTATTTGGAAATATTAGGTAGACCATTATTACAAATCTGAAACCTTTGTTTAGTGCCATTATTTAAACACTGTCGAGAGAATGTATTGAATTAATTCTACCGTGTTTTTATGTACAGGGTGTGCATGATTCACTCCGAGGTGCCTCATTAAATAACCTTTTCATAAGGGCATATACTTAATATATCTTGACCATTTTTTTTGAATATGCATAGCGAAAACATTCCTCAACTTGAAAAGTGCTGCTGCTCTCCTGAAATCGAGAGCATTACTAAATAAATAAATAAAATACATGGTAAAGGTCACACATATTTCGACTATAGCCAAATAACTTGAAATTTAAACTAACAAAATGCGAATTCTATTTAAAGCAGCAGCACTTTTCATAAACTACAAGTTATGTAGATACAATTTATTACTGAAATTTTTAATTCTAACTAGGGTATGTCCTTGCGATATTGAAATTTGTTTATGACCTACCTACAGTACACATTACATGCATTTATCACGTGACTGTCAAATAATGTGACCAATTTCAAATTGCGGGGTATACAATGTTATTTCAATTAAAATAAAAGTCATGTGATAATATAGTAGTTTTACAAAAATAAATCCAGTTTAAAAAGGTATGTATTTATGCACGTTTACATTCCTGCGAATAAAAGACTTGATGAATACAGAAGTCTCACATGGATACATACTCCTCAATGACACATGAGTCAATATCTGGTGTTTCCATATATCCGTTTTTGTCCTGCTCTCAATTTCTTTTGTACCGTGGTATTTTTTTTTTTTGTTTTGTTTGTTTGTTTGTTTTTTGTATTTTGACCTTTGTAATCTTCACATTTCTTCATTCAATTTAGAACCAAAGAAAATCATGATACTTCAACAAAACAGCTGTAACGGTAAGTAGACACATATGTAAGAAATTGATTTGGAACAAATGACGGTAACAGATTAACGTTTTTTTAATTATCTCCGTAATGTAAGTAATTTATGTATTTATGACTTTGTTAAATACACATTTACCTTTATTATATACCCAACTGTTTGTCACTCAGTTTTACTGTTGAATTCACACAATCACGTGACGGTGTGATCCGATGTTCGGGATCACAACACTGTGGTTTTCTGAATCCATATCACCCTCTCTGAAACTGATGACGTAGTACACAGATAAATGACATTTTTATTCTCGCGCATCAAAAAGTTCCTTGACAAAATGGTTTGTTTAATGGATAAAAGTTATGTAATTGATCCAAAAAGTTTCTTTTTATTTTACTTTGCTAGTTGTAAAGGGGTATATAATAAATTTATCATTATAACAGTAACTTGATACAAAGAGCCGTATCACGTCTCATTGACAGGCGCGGATCATCAGATCAAACTCGACGCTTCGCGTCTCGTTTGATCTGATGATCCGCGCCTGTCAACTCGACGTGATACGGCTCTTCGGATCAAGTTACTGTTATAATAATATATATTTATTGAATGCACTGATAAATCTAAATCGGAGTGTTTCTAAATAATGCCCACTTTATTTCAAATAGAGAAATGAAAAAGGGGAAACATTTATAATATACTATGTATGCATATGGAATTTTATTTTTATCTTTCAAAGATGACATTCTTTTCTAGTTCCAACGAGAACAACACCTGAAGGGTTTTATATTTCCCAAGGTAATCACACTACAATTCTAAATGAATTAATATTAAACATGCCAAATATTTAATATTTTAGGGACACCTAGGTCATTCAGGTGACCTATTGTTGCCACTGGTTTACGTCCTTCGTCGTGTGCCGTCGGTTAACTACTGAATTATTCTAACATCTTGAAAATAATTTTCATGTAGCTTATTGTTTTCTAATTTTTTATGACGCATGTTAACGATTTGATAAACAAATTGTGATCTTCTGAATCATTGACACAAATTACCCTAGAATATTTAGGACAATAAGTGCTAAAAAGTCAATTATTGAAAAAAGCTTCTCTATTCCTGCAAAACGAAATGCATGGTTAGGAAGAATATGAAGTCCTCCACCAAAATTTTAACGACCCCCAGGGAAGGGGTTCACCCTGCAGGGGGTACAAAATTGTCATATAGAGAGAAACTGTACACGATCTGAGCAAAATCCCCCTATCCGTGCACATCTTTTTCTCTTCTATAGATCTTCAAGGAAAAAATGATTGCATGGGAAAGAGCATAGAGCCTTCTATCAAAATTGGGTTTTTCGTGAACATCAGGACAGGGGTTCTTCCTCTTGCTCGTTAAACTTCCTTTCCATAGAGAAAGGAATGATAAATGATCACCTTTTCTGTTCTTGGAATGGCAATATATGCGATAATGAAAAGCAATTAGTCACCGGGTTCGGTGACCACAAAAACGTCATTGATATCATACAATTATAATTTTTGATAAATCCAATTACATTTCCAGTAATTTGTATACTAGAAGAAATTGCACTTTGTTGAGAAAAAAATGTATAAAACAGTTGGCAAATATAAACAATAACCAAAAAAATGTAAATTGAAAGGAACTTTATATTGCAATGTTTCAAATGCAAATTTTTTCACTAACAAGGATGGGAGTCAATTGAGATTTTTAACGATCTCAATGGAGATATGAAATCTAAAATGGCGGTTGTCTTAGATGAAAATGAGGGCACATGTTTTCCACTTCCAACCCAAGAAGACTTCACTCCTTTCTTAATGATGAGAATGCCGACAGAACCCGTCTTTGGTATTCAGGCAAAGGCTTTCACCATTACAATATCAGGAATGGGAATTTCATGTAACAGGCACTCCAATTCTCGAATGCTTCAGGTAAATATGACTAAAGAAACTTCGAGTGTAAAACCTTCTTAAACATGCTTTTTGAATTCTACGTAAAGTAGTATAAATTTTCAAAACATTTTAGAAGTTCTGTAATTTTACGTAGCATTTTTAACAGAATGATAAATGCAGAAATATCTTTTATTCTTGTACTTAATGTGAATTCATTATCTTGTGAAATTTTTGTCCATTATTTTTTCTTGATTTATGGTACTGTAAAGTAGTTCACTTAAACAAATGTTCCAAATTTTAATATTTGAAGAGGTTGTAATGTAATTTGATAGTCTAACAGTACCTAAGCAAAATGGACGTATACAAAACTCCACGGAATATAATAACTCTACAGTATAAGTAACTATACTTTCTTACAAAAGCTGATAATTATTGCACAGAGAGAACACCAAGAAACTGCTCTGAGCTCTGGTGGTTCAATGTTAAAATGAATTATCGAAAGGTGAACGAAACTATTTTGAAACAAATAATTGCCTACACATTTTTCTTATATGTAAAATAACAGCTGATCGTTAATGATAAGTATTTAACCTCATATGGTATAAAAGCCCAATTCTTCCTTTACTAGTTAATATATTCAATAAAATATAGAGGAATCTATGATAAAGAAACGAACAACCAAATTGATTGAGAGTAGTAGCTACTAAATATTGACAATTAAGTGACATATGTATGCCTTTTGATTACTTGAGACAGAAAAAATAAATACAGAATGTAATGTTATTCATACTTGAGAAAATCTAGATACATTTGTTATTTCATTTGAAAAAGACAAAATTAATTGGTTTTAAAAACATTCGTTAAAAAGTACTGTTACCATCCATTGCCACCCGGGTAACAAAACATACGTTGTAGCAACGGTTGAAAGTTCAACACGACGAGTAATATTGGTTTAAAGGAAACATTCGTTTTGTCGGACCCAAGAATCAAATTGTTTGCCTGTGGCTGTTAGGCCGATGGCAAATTGTTGCTTTGAGGGTCGACAAAACGCATTTTGCCCAAGAACACAGTCAATTACTGTTTTGCAATACCTTTTTTATTTAATTTTTTTTTTTACATTCATGTATCCTGTGCTAGTTCTCATGACGTGAATGTCCTTTCCCGCACCGCGGTTAAACTTGGTCAATTCCGTCACCGTCGAACGCCAACGGATGCAAATAATATTTAGCTGATCCCACCCACAGTGTGTCGAAAGCGGCCCAATATTACATCGACAGATCCAATAATTCACTCTGCAGTCTTACATCGGATTACTTTGACCGCCCAGTTGAACATTTTAAATATTACATTTTCTTGTAAACATTTATACAGGAAACAATTTTTAAAGCTTAAAAGTGTTCTTTCTTAGAAAAAAAAAAATTTGTTGACCAAAGAGATGTTTGCAAGATTACAGTTTCACAATTAACCCTAAAAACATGTAATATTTTATAATGTATGTAAAAAATAAAGTACAATATCTAGAAGAAGAATAAACAATGTTTCCATCACTTTGCACAAAATTAAGAAATGCTCTATGTCAGAAAATAAAATGGAAAAAGATATTTTATGTACTACCCTGTAAAATTGACGGGCAAATTCTTTTTAGACAATTTGACATCACAAGGTGTACTGAAACTGACTGTATGCTTTTTAATTATAAATTATGATCATGGAAAATCATTAGTATTGTAGCAGAAGATTATATGAATAAACAAAATTTTCATAAAAATTAATTAGCATATTAACTTAAGTTTATAATAGCCTTGAGTCTATGGCAGAAAATAGTCTGTGTCTTCTCTATGTTATAACGTCTTGTTTGTCATTTTTATTAGTGACAAGCAATCAAGTAAAAAAAGTTCTTTAATTGTACCTATATACACTTTTACTGAATACTTACACATATGAGTATCCCTTTTCAAAACGTTTTGAATAAAACATTTTTGACTTTAAACTTATTTTTGATTTAACTAGAAATTGTGAGGATTTAAAATCATTTCACGTTCCTATAAATAATGACAATTGATGAAAGATAACACACACCAAAGCAAACATGATGATGATCATCATCGTTATTCATTTTGTTATCGATATTTTTACAAATATTTCTAGGTATCCTACAGAGCCATCAAGGAACTGACCCAGTTCTGTACTCTGACAGACAACAAGGCCGTACCTGACGCTTTTTCACGTTGTGTATTTCGTTGTGACTGTCCTGACCCCGCCCACTGTAAAGATGTCAATCTATATTTGTTCAGTGGTAATGCCAAAGGGGCGTGGTCTCTCTGTGAAGTGAAAGCTACTAATTCCTAAGTTTGTAAAAATAGGAAGGGGGATTAGGACTTTTAATAGAACATAAGAATAACAAGATGAAATTTTATTAGCAGTTATTTTTGCTTTTTTAAATATCTTAGCAAAAGAAAAGTTGTGGAAATTGAAACGAAGTTGATGAAAATGATTTAGGGGAAAATAAACAGTCTGATAACGTCGTTCAAAGAAGAAAATTTCTTAATTACGTGTAAATATTCTTTCTTCAATATCTCGATGATTTTGCTAAGAAAATTACAAAAATCAATATTTATTTTTTATTTTGTGTTTCATTTAATTTCTGTTAAAATAGTTAAATATTGATAATTCTTTATGGGTTTATATACTGATTTTCCTCTTTGACTATAATTATGCATTAAAATGTATAATTTTTCGAATGTAAAATTTATAAATATGCATTGTTTCGAGAATAGACCAAGCCTGGTTAAATTATAGTGGATGAATATTATTAGATAACAAAGCAGAAATTTAGAAACTTACGGATGAATGTTAATGACCGACAATTAAACTTTTAATATTTAATGATAATCATTTAAATAAAATCATAAAATATATCTAAGAAAATTATATATGTATAAAATCTTCTAGAACATATATAAACATGTAATTTAAATATTTAATAAGATATCTGCAGTTTTTGCTAAAGCTTATATGCAGTACTGCATGTATTTGTTCAGACATTGGGCTATAACTGCATTTCTGTGTCTATATCCTTTTCTTCGTATGATAGTTTGCTTTTTTTTTATTGAAGGATAAGTAACAAATTAAAAAAAAAAAAAACCATTAATATATCTTATGAATTTATGTTCATAAACATTACATGAATAATGTTTGCCAATATAAGTGTGGAAATTTTGTAATAATGTTAAAAATGTGTGTAAAATTTCTCGTTGAAAACGGCATAAAGTCGCAAATTTCAGCACAAAAGGGACTTTACGATTTCTTTATATTTTAAAGATTTTGTAATTATACGTTTCTTTTTAAAATAAGTCAAAAAAAGATGTCAATCCATATACTCTTTTTTTGTTTGTGTAATGTTTCTTTATAGAACTTTTTTTTACAATTTTCATTTTTATCTTTATATACATTTTTGATCAGTATGATGCAGCCTTTGCTGACTATGAGCATTTGTATGATGTAGCTTTTGCTGATTATGAGCATTTATAAAAAGATATTCAAAAAACTACTAAAAATGCATCTTTATAAGTCCATAGTGCAATGATGGACACATCATTCAAGAACACTTTGCAAGAAGACTGAAATCATAATTTTTCTTATTTTAATCAAAGAAATTTTATTATTATTATTATTATTATTACAAATTTTGAAATTAGTACTGAAAGCAAACAAAAGAGGACAAATGATTCATAAACTTTTCAGGATTTTTAGATCACGTGAGCAAAAGAATGAAGAAAGCTTTTCTGATCAATATTTGTCAAAAACATATGTGTAACAATTTGAGAAATTTATATGTTAGATCTTCTTCTAATGAAGATTACATATGTAAGCTTTGTTCAAATCGCGTATGTAGGAACTGATCTTAAAAAGCATTCCTCTCAAGAACAGGAGGGATACATTGTCATCAGAATATCCAGACATTCTTAAATAGTAAATATTCAAGTTTGTTCAAATCGTGGCCCTTGGGGATAAAGTGGTATCACAATAGGGAGTCAATCTCTTACATAGGGATTTATTTCTCTCACTATCTTCTAAATAAAAGGAAGGTTACAATTGTAATATTGATATGCAATCATCATGTGGCAAAGAATAAAGATTTATTTAATCATGAAAGTGCATAGTCACTAAGGGGGAATCATAGCTTGACATAAGAAAACTTTTTAAAATGTTCTAGTAAAGCAGATCAAGTGCTACAAAGATGAGTGTTTTGGCCCAGGGGCCTCTGCTTTTGTCTTTCCTATTAGTAGGTACAAGGGTTGTCCATAAGGTTCGTGAACAAATGCTATAAATTTCTTTATAATGACAGCACTGGTAAATGTGTACAAAAATATTTTAATAGAGACCATGATTTAATAAAGATATAAAAATAAAAAAAACACACAATATTTTATGAACGTTAAAGATGTAAATACTTTGTATGTAGAAGCGGTGCGGCCCAGTGTGACAAAGCTTATTTCATGTTAACGTCAAAAATATGGATTTTGAATTCTTATTACATGTTCATCGACACAGGCTACTTTTCTTTTTTATGTCAATCTGACAAAATAATGTGTGCAATAGTATTTATGTATTGAACATAACTAATTTTACATTTAAAATTCAAATCAATACAGGATAATTTACGATCACAGTCAGTATGAACACTTCGTATACACAGGCTGCGCAGCCCAGTCCAACGTTGAGCCAGACTGCATAAAGATATCCTATTTTCACCAAATAACGGTGGTTTTTCACTTCTTATAGTGTCTGCAAAATTGTACACATCGTTAAGAAATCGAATATACTAATTTCAAATCGATGAACTAAAAATAAACCGATAACTTAAAGTTGTTTGAATAAATGGTTTGTCTCTGACGTCGTTTCGACCATATTAAAACATTATTTTATGATTGGAAGTTTTCCGTTCGGATAGCCGACGTCGCTTTTTCTGTATTTTTTTTTTATTTTATTAAGCTTTGACTTGTTTCATAAAGAAAATAGTCATTTAAATCAGAAACTTTATTTCAAAGTTCATGGCGTTTTAACCCTGGGCCGTGCACACCATCTGCGACCTTTATAGACTGCGATTTTAACAAAATTATTAAATTCAAACAATCAAAACCAAACTATTTTGACTAGGATTTTCATAACAAATATTTTGGTAAACAATAAGTATATATAGGACCATTTATTCTGAAAAAAATGTCATTGTCCACGAACTTTATAGACAACCCTCGTATATGTGTGTAATGAATATCATTTGTTTTTTTTTCTTGGAGTGTATTATTATTGTTGTAATTACTTCTTTTGTTGCTGGTGGAGTTGTTATTGTAGATGTTGCTTATGATAGAATTGTTGATACTTATATAATTGTCCCTGATATTGATGTTGAATTTATTATACAGTACTGCATTACATGTTGCTTAAGTATCTGTCATTGCCTTGTAGGAAACATATATACAAAGCTCATATATCTAGAAATCTCAAAATTAGCTGTAAGTCATTGTTCGTTAGACAAAATAATTTCTAAGCTTCTTCATACATTGTAGCAAGGTCAGCTTTGTTTAAATAATTACTCAATATGAGAGTGCTAAGTAACAATATGGGCTTTCACTTAGGCATCGGAACAAATAGGGGAAGATTCTTCTTTTGATAAAGAGCCTGTTCACAATTAGTCCCAATAATATACAAATTTTCACTTGTATTGAAAGTTCACATTTGTTCAAATCATGGTCCCAAGAACTAATTTGTTTGCAAAATACTGTTTCAAGGTTTGACATGAAATACTTATGGATGAATCTTCATTTGAAAAACAGTAAGACCATTTTTACGTTTTATGTTGCCAGCATCTCAATGTAATATACCTTCATTTTTTAAAGTCATTGCCCAGATTGTGGAGACAAACCTTTACAAAGTAATATTCAGGAAATTATTTTAAAACATTTTTTTCAAGAACAGAGGCGATAAATTAAGCCATCAAAATATTAATTCAAACATTCAAATGAAGTGAATATTATTAAAATTTTTAAAATGATTGCCCTTTAGATTAAGTTAGGGTCACAGTAGGGGTCAAACTTTTAAATAGGGATATATAGAGACTATTTTCTTTCTTAATTTCGTTTTGGTCCTGGCAACTGCTGCTGTAGTCTGTTTACTACTGTAGCTGGTGGAGCTCTGTTGTTGTAGGTGTTGTGTGTGATAAACATGTTGTTAATTTTGTTACCGTTTCTGCTGATGAATCTTTGATATTGCTGTGAATGCTGCTTTTTGAACTATGATTGCCTTGTGATGTATATTCTTCATACATATTTCGAAAAAAAAAACGCAATGAAAAATAAAACAAGAACGTGCTTCTGAATTTATTATTTAAAATGACAATACTAATGAAATTGACATTCAATTTTTGGTGACATGACGTCGATCACGTGATCAGACTTTTTTGCGTACGGAATGCAAACCGCATGAGGCATTTGGAAGGTTTAGACTGTGATGTCACATAACGCGTCCACGTATGTAGGTCCCACTTCCATAACAGAGTCTAAAAATTGCAAATTTTTCTTTATAACACAAATCAAAGTAGAAATATAAATATAAGAAATTTGTCCTTCAGGATTTAATCAAGTGACCAACTTCATGTCATATCCCGTCGCCCACGTGGCGCAGTGGTTAGAGCGTCTGCTCTAGAGTCGCGAAGTAAGGAGTTGATCCTTACGTTGCGGGTTCGAATCCCACTGTGGGACGTGGAGGCCGGTCCTTCGGATGAGACCGTATAAACCGAGGTCCCGTGTCGCAGTAGGTACTGGCACGAAAAAGATCCCTCACTGCTCAATGGCCGTAAGTGCCGAGCATAGGACAAAATTTGCTGCTCTCCACCGGCAATGGTGGCGTCTCCATATGAGTGAAAAATTCTCGAGAGGGACGTTAAACAACATACAATCAACAATCATGTCATATCCCAATGAAACTTTAAAAATATCTTATTCTTAAATGCATGCTGTGCATAAACTATTCTTTGATACTTCTATATAGGCTTCTCTCACAATGGCTTCTCTCTCCCATTCCTTCTGAAAAAAGGGGAAATTATTTTTTCTTGTTTTGAGACAGCCAGCAAAGATAAGAAGTTTGCTTGTTAAAAGTTTATTGTTAATATTCTTTGAATAGAATTTTAGAAATAAAGAAGACCAAATAATAAATTTTGAAATAATGAATTGTCACCCTAGGATGAAAATGGCTTAAGCGAAATCGAAAAGGAAAATAATAATAAAAAAAATGTAAAGGTGTATCACGACATCTTGTCATAATCAAGTCATATTTTTTATCGCAACAAAAGAATATATAATTGAGGTATCATATGTTAAGTAATAATCTTTGTGTCAAGACAGAAAAATGTAATTATATATATATATATATATATATATATATATATATATATATATA